TGAATACACATGATTACAAGTCTTCAAATCTCTAAGTCTTTTGTCTTTGAATCATCATCAAAATCTCCAAGCTTCATATCCCTATATGTTTAACACTAGAAAAACTATTCAAGAAAATAATTCGATGACCATACCAGTAAGGTAAATTCAAGAAAATGATTTTCAAATGGTGTGTCAAATAACTACACTAGAAAGGTAAATTCATATATTGTTAAAAAAAATCCTCCTAGCACAAAGTTAATGTGAAAGGTGTAGCCATCGTAGCTCACCAAAACATTTATTGTTACATTTAACCTCGAAAAAAACATGATAGAGGTAATAAAAACTCATCAAATATTATTTTAGTCCCGAGCTAAACATGATAAAGGTAATGAAACTCACCAATTATAAATATAGCCTCGAGCTTAATACAGTGGAGGTAATGAAACTCGTCAATTATAAATTTAACCACAAGCTAAACATAGTAGAGATAATAAAACTCGTCAAATATTTTTTTAGCCCAAAGTTAAACATGGTAGAGATAATGAAACTCGTTAATTATAAATTTAGGCACAAGCTAAACATGGTAGAGGTAATGAAACTCCTCAAATATTATTTTGGCCTGATGCCAAGCAAGGTGGAGGTAATAAAACTTGTCAAATATTATTTTAACACGTTACACATAGTAATCGCAACACGTCATCACTAAACATAACTACTTCAACACATTATTAGACGTAGCTATCACAACACATTAAAACCAAATTGGGTTTTATCTGAATTATATTCATCCTAGTTATATATTCAAATCATATTGAGTTAGATTTATTCGAGATATATTCATCCAAGTTATACAATTATTCAAGAATGTCATTTGAACATGTCATTATGATATAACAATTATTCGATAACATCATTTGAGCATGTTATTATGCCATAACAATTATTTGAGAACATCATTTAAGCATGTCATCATGTTATAACAATAGTACATCATAACACTTAATATTTCCAAATCACAAATATAGAATAATCATCAAGTTTCATGTTATTATAAATAAAAATCATACATCTACATGAATTTGTCCGCCCTTGTATACTTCAAAAATATGTTATACTTCAAACAGTTTGGTAATAACTCTAAATTAAGCATATTTCGGGCAAAATTCCATAGGCACAACATCACATAAAACTTCATCCTTGTACTCATTAGTGGAAAAAGGATATGAAACTTGTTTGTTTATGATTATTTCACCTTTTTCATTGAACCATTGAAGTTTATAAGGTTTAGTATGAGAGATAGTAAGAAAATCAAGTTTTTATACTACTCTTGCATTAGCCATATTGATACAACTTCCTCCTTCTATGATGAGTGAACATAATTTGTTATTGATGACACATTTAGTATTGAGAATATCTTTCATGCTATATCTATTAGATTGGTCATAAAGCAATAAACTAAGATTAGAGGAAGATCACTACAACTATATCAAGTACGTCTTCAAGACCGAGAGGGTGTAATAATTAGTCCCAAATAGTTAAAAGAGTATTTGCGTTGGTACAAGATATGTGTTTTATCTTTGACTTTGAAGGTGTTATATGATTTAGTTGACACACACTCCTTCATATCTAATGCACATGTAGAGAAAATGAAATTATTTTAGTGAGTTACCTTTTAAGCTAATTGAGGACACTGATATTTAATTTAATGATAGTTTATACATTTTGTGCTCAATGATGTAATTGAAAGACATACATTTAAGATAGACTTGATTAATTTATCTTTAAAGGATATAAAACCTATCATATATATATATATATATATATATATATATATATATTATTGAATAATAACTTCCCCATTTGAATTATGCTTATACTTAATTTTTTCAAGTATACCACTTATCCCAATTCACAACTTCAAAAACTAGACAATATCCCAATATTCAAATTATCTAAAATTCACTAATTCAAAATCTTCTAATATATCTAATATTAATTTCTGAAAATAAAGTGATTTTTTTTAGAAAAAGTTAGATTATAACTTATTTGTATTTAAATATAAAAGAAGATAAAGTTATATAAAGTAAATTTTAACTAACTTAATTTATTAAATATTAATTTGACAAATATTATTATGTTTAAAACTTGAATATCATTTTCATGTACGCATAATTTATAAAAATATATCTTTATTTTATGAAATAAAAATAATCATGTAAGCCCAACTAATATTTTCAATCAGGATAGAATTAAAATATTTTTTTTATATTTATATTGAGATGTAGGTAGTACTCATCCGGAGAGGTTGAGCAAGAAAACACAAGTCAATGAAGAGTTAGACGCAATGTAAGGTCATCAAGAGAGTGGCCCCACAGATCACACGTGTGCAATCATTTTATTATCGATATTTAAATATTTAAGTGATGATAATAACGAAATACTCTGAGTCTCTTGAATAAAGTCCAACTATTTCCACAAGAGATCCCAACACTTCAAAGAATTAGTTAAAAACCCCATGAAAATGGAAAATGACAGAATCTCCAACAAACTTGCTATGCACTCGTTCCTTTTTCTCTCCTCTCTGTGTTTTCGTTGTAAATAGAGTGTTGAAGCTTTTCTTTTCTCTCTCGTCTTCTTCTCTTTGCCTTGAACCTTTCCTTTCGTCCTCTTTCTATTCTTCCTCGTCTATCTTCGATTCCGATTCGGTACCTTTCTTCCCCCTTTCTTTGTTGATCCTCTGCGATAACGAATTTGTCATCCGCTACTTTCCTCCGTTTTCTCGGCGTGCAAACGGAGGACAACACAGTTGTGAAAACGATTGGAAAATGCTGGGAACTGCACTGCAATTTGGCGGCGTTCGCGGTGAGGATCGCTTTTACATTCCGGTGAAGGCGAGAAAGAACCAGAGTCAGCGCAAACAAGGCAACAGAGCCAAGAATGGCGAACCTGAAAACGCTGATTTAACTTCGAAGAGCAAAGTCGATGTCTCTGAGAATAGCAATGTCAATAGAAATCTCAACCAATCATTGAAACCAACTCTTTCTCCGTGTGTAGAGTCTGTTAGCAATATCGATAGGTTCTTGGACTCCACGACGCCGTTAGTTCCGGCTCAGTATTTCTCCAAGGTTGATCTTAATTTCTCAATTCATTCTTATATGTTTTAATTTGGCCTCTAATATTGCTTTTGAAATGTTGAAACAGTTGTCGCAAATGTTTTATGCGTAGTTATATTCTCGGAATTCTTGTTATGATTTTATTCTTTATGAGAAACGCAAATTTGATTGTGTTGTGGATGTAGACAACGATGAGAGGTTGGAAGTTTTGCGATGTGGAGTATCAGTCTTACTTTGCCCTCAGTGATCTCTGGGAATCTTTTAAGGAGTGGAGTGCGTATGGAGCTGGAGTGCCTTTGGTCCTTGATCAAAGTGAATCTGTTGTTCAGTATTATGTTCCGTATTTGTCAGCTATTCAACTCTATGGTCCATCTGCCGAGAAGCCAAGTACAAAGCCTAGGTATTACCATTTGACGTGCATAATAAGAATTGCTAACTTAAAAGACAACACTACTGGAAATACGTTAGAATTATCGATGGATGTTGCTATTTTACTCTGTCTTTTATTACAAACACACACACACACACATATTCATTAATTCTGCACACTACTCCCTTTCTTCCCTTTATGCTCAGATTTCCTATCTTCTGATCTTCATATTAGATCATGGAGCATCTGTGGACCAAAATCATTCTTACCCCTCAACACCGATTATTGACCCTGGTTGTGCTCTTTCGTAGCAGAACATAGAATGAAAGTTGAAACAACGCACAGTATCTAGCTTAAAATAAAATAGTAATGAGTGTTGAAAGGATATTACATTAAGCAATAAACTTTGTTCATAGAATAATAGTTTGCTAACATTTCCTAGTCCTCATTATCAACCATATAAAAAGTAGGCAAACATGTGTATGCTTTCTTGGTTCTGGTTGATAGGCAACAGTAAATAATTGAGAAGTAAATGAGTTGCATTGAATTCATTACTCTTAATTTGCTTTGAGGGTTTAATGTATGCGTGCAGCAATTTGTTTGATGCTCATTGATCCTGTGCATTTTTATGCACAAATTTTAAAGTTATTACATATGAGGACATCTTTTGCTAACATTTTTATGTGCTTGTTCTGTTTGTTTCACTTCTGTTGAGATAATTATTTGGTGTCCAAGCTGTTCATGAAATGCAGGTTTTTTTTGTAATAGAGTCATATCTATATGTAGCATTTTTGTTGGGTTATAACATTAGCAAGTTACTTTTGAATTAGATTTTATAGCTCTAAGTGAAAGTATTCAGTAACCCTAATCATTAATTGACAAATTAAAGTGTTAAGTGGTGAGAAAGTCACAAAACATTATTTCTGTAATTGACATGCATTTCTTTTTCGAAGCATCTCTTGTTTTGATCTGTATTTGAATTATTTAGACATAAATGGTCAGCAAAAACAGGCTGTCAGCTGGAAGAGTGAATAAAATGTTTGCGATGGGTGAGATAATTTGAGACACAGTATTTGAGACTATGGAGTATGGAGAGTCATCCTCTTATTGATATGGTGTTTATTTGATTGATTTATAATGATTACTTGTATTGCCTCAAAAATCTCTTTTATATTGTGCTTGGTAGCTGTGAAACCCTGATAAATGGAACAAATAGACTGCAGATGAATAATATATCTGGATGTCCGATTGTGGTTTGTCTGATATCTAGTCAAATCTTCCTTCCTTCTCTTCATTCCCTCCATTTTCCACCCTTAGTAGACCTAACTGGTCATTGACTTGGTCAAGATACTAGGTCACTGGTTGAATCCATGAGTCATTAACTGAACTACATGAATTAGTATTTACTAAAAGTGTTAAACTTTATCCAAAGATTGTTTGCATGAATTTTCACAAATATTTCATTGGTGTGGTGGTCAAGTGTCTGTCCTTCAGCGGATGTTTGTTTTCAACTAAAGAAAGTTGGAAAACGCGGAAATGCAAGGATTTCCCATTTTTCAATGTAAACAACTTTATTTTTTACATTCTTTCTCACCTTTTTCACTTCCTAAAATCCTCTTTTTAATCCAAACACAAGGTCAGTGCTCTTCCCAAATTTGCTTTGAAAATTTCAAATTTTGTACTCTTATTATTAAAACAGACATAGGTAAGACCGGTCTGTAAGAACTGAGTTACCAGTTTTATAAAATCCAGTTAGCTCAACTAGTTTAATTTCGGTTCAGCAACACTTCTAATCTCATAACTAGCTTCAACTGGTAGCAACACTAGCTTCGGTCCAGTTGGACCAGCTGGTCTGAGCCAGTTTGATAACACTGCCCAAAACTTTAAATTTAAAAAATGTAAATATATTGGTCGTGGTATATAGGGTCAGTTTGGACAGTTTTTTCATAAGCACTTATAGGAGAAAAAAAACAATAAGAAAAATGAAATGATCTTCTCCGTAAACTAAAATTAGTTTATGTATAAACGAATATGTGGAAACCTTCTCATAGCTTCTCTGAATTATTTTTCTTAACTTGTGCATAAGCTAATTTTAGGATATGGAAAAGCTCTCTTGGTTTTTTCTCTTTTTATTTTTTTCTTTTAGAAGTGTTTATGGAGAAACTTGTTCAACTAGGTTCATTATCAATTGATTTTGACTTTTGGTGCATTAATAAATCGTTATGGATCTCACTATATTGGATATATTTTTAATGTTGTTATTTATACTCTATCACTTTTTGGCTACTGCTTCTTATATGCAGTCAATGTACAATAAATACTTTTGCTGTTTTCATAATTCGTTACTTAATTATAACTTAGAAGTGCTATGGGAGTGTGCAGTGTTGCTATTAGCTTGTAACTAATCAGAGATGAACTTATGTCATTAGGTACACCAGCGAAGATAGTGATGGTGATTACTACAGAGATTCATGTAGTGAAGGAAGTAGTGATTATGAATATGGAAGAAGGACTGAGTTTACGACACAAAGAAGTCAATATCTAAAAGGTGGTGTATCACTGCAAATGAACACAGATAAATGCAGTACAGTGCAAGAAGGATTTTCTAGTGACGATAGTGAAACTGGGAATCCTCAAGATCTGCTTTACGAGTATTTGGAACAAGATCCTCCTTATGGTCGTGAACCGTTGGCTGACAAGGCAATTACTGATTCATAGTGAATGTGTGGCTTATTTACCCATAATCTGATCCCTCGATCTTATACTTCATAATATTTTGACAGATACAAGATCTTGCACGCCACTATCCTGCCCTCAAGTCATTGAGAAGCTGTGATTTATTACCAGTCAGTTGGATGTCTGTGGCATGGTAATCTAATGTGTTATCACTTCTTTACCCCTGTTTCTTTTTTTCTTTTGCAATATTAACTTAATCTAATGTTTTAATACTGTGTTTTTTTGCCCATTAACTTATTTTCTATGTCATATTCTAGGTATCCTATTTATCGAATACCCACAGGTCCAACTTTAAAAGATTTAGATGGGTGCTTTCTAACATACCATACCCTCCATACACCCTTGACAGGTAATTATGGAGCTTCAAGCCTATGTTTGATCACTCATTGTTATTTATACATCACTCATTTTGGTTATTGCTAGATTAGATGTACCTGTGCATTTTGAAATTATTTCATTTTTGAGTAAAAACCCCCATTTTGTCGAGAGTGTGTCAGACTTTGGTCTTCAAAAGTTGTCATTGTTTAAGTTCCTCAACAATGCAAAATGTCATTGATTTAGTTTCCCAATAAGGCAAACTGTTATGGCCTAAATTAGGACTTCATTACTCTCATTTGTCTGTCTCTAAAGGAGGATCAATTCAATGATACTTACAGAATATTTAGAAAAAACAAATGATTCTATCTTTGTCAACTAATATGGAAGATGGGCATTTGCTCCCCCAGCATGTATTCAATGAATTTTTATTTTTCACCTGACTTTTAATTCTTACGAGTAACAAGTGCTTTCTCAGCAGTCAGCTCACATGTATAACTGTAAATGCTAATATCTTATTCTGCTTTATTTTTCTGTTTTGTGTTCCAAGCTCATGAAAGAGAAATGAAAAATGTCCAAAACATAGGAATTGGCAGTTTTTACTAAGTTCATGTCTGGATCAGTGCAAAAACACAAGTACCATCACATTTTCATGTCCAATTGTACGAGTGATGCAAAAGGTAGTATTATATGCACTAAAATGATGCATATCCATTTTTGCTGATGAGCAACCAAACACATTAAATATCCAAGAATAGGAGCCTCCTCCAAGAGTGTTCCCTTTCCTTACAAACTTTCCGATTGTGTGAATGAATCTTTCTCTTCTTGTTCCCCCCCTATTTGTCTAACCAATAAATTAATTATTTCCTCTTTTAACAATCCTTAACTACTTTTCCTTTTACTTTTTTTCCTAACAGAATATGTATATTTTTAAAATGAAATAAGCACTCTAAATTTTAGATGCATGACATGTTATTCGTTACTTTGACAAACAAAGTATGGGCTGGGTAGCAGAGAGATACAGATTGTTTTTTACTAGTCATTATTCTTCTTATTAAAGAGTTTGTTGATATTCTCTCTTTCTTTGTCAAATCATGTCAAAACCAATTTTAAAATACTTCGGCTGTTCATAATTTTTTTTAGTATTATGCCATTAGTGTAGAGTGTCTACCAATTTTTGTTGATAACTAATCTCTAGGAAAACTAGTTGATCTCCTTTAGTAGGTCCTATTGTAGGATGACCTTATCAAACACGTTTTTTTCATGCACAGTGCTCGAACTTGAGACCTTTCTGAAGGGGAAGGTGTCTAATACCACTCAGACTTGTTGGTTACTCATGCTTTGATGCCGAATTAGATTTTCAGAGCCTTCAAGTATTGCTGATGTTTTAGCTAAAATGTGATCTGACCATGGTATTGGTCGCTTATACTAAGTTCTTGTTTAGCTATTTCAAGCTAGCATATAGAGTCTACTTGTTTATCTAGAGTACCATATTACTAGGTACACATATTTATGTGGAAACTGTCTGCATCTGTTTGTCAAATGTGCAGCTAACAACAGAATGAGTTCAAATCTGCAGCTGACTTGCTACTACATATTTTTTTGTTGTTTTAATGACGGATGATTTGATAGAAGGAATAAATTTGGGATATCATTTAGCAATTCGAAATTTACTATCACCACCATACCTTTTTCCTGGACGCGGCTACTCAGAGCAACTGATGCCATAATTCTTTATTGTAAATCACTTCTTTAGATAAACTATTAGCTGTACATCCTCTTTAATCGTTTCACCTATAGCTCTTTTTTTTTTTTTTTTTTTTTTTTTTTTTTTAAATAAAGAAATCACTTTCTACCTCTGGCAGTAGAGCTGCCTTCATCTTAGGGGGTCTCCTACAAATCCTCTCCAGACATGCCAGAACGCATAAGGTGAACTACTGGGTTTTTCCATACAATGGTTGGTTACTACCCCAACTTCCTCGCTATTGCATTCATTCCCTTTCTTATTTTGTCTATTATGACCCGATGAAACATTCTAATCGCTGTCATGTGCTGTTTATTCTCTCATCGGATTTTTCTTGTCCAAGACTCGATTCCATATACATTGCAGGACTTATAGCTACATGTTATGATTTTCACTTAAGCTTGAGTCTTACCTTAATCATCCATCCTGCTTGAATCCTATGCATTAATTAGAGCACCGTAATTTGTGAGAGTATGGCCTCCAATTTTTGCTAAACTAACATTCCATTATCGTACAAACCATGTGCTTCCAAATTTATCTTCCAACTCTAACTTCCCATTTATTGCCTCTTGACTGTCCAATTAGGATTATATTATCTATAAAAAGTTGTAAATTCTTGGACATGCCCTGTAAGAAAATCCAAGACTCAACAAGTCATAACAAGTTGACCCGAAGCAAATGTACAGTTACAAGATAATTTGGTCTGACCCCACCTTGTGTTCTCACTTTTCACTTCTCACTTACATTTTACCCCTTGTAATCTTTGATTACTCAAATATTGACAATATGAGCTCCTTTATGCTCTAAGGCCTTCCAAAACCTCTCTTCTATTGCATGGTTGTTCCAAATTAATAAATAACCACATGAAAGTATTTTTATTCCTCTAATGTTGTAACATGAATCATTATGCGAACTATTATGCTTCCTTAGTCAACCTCCCCATCATAATACCTATCGTTTGTTGTCTTAAGCTCTTATCTATGCTCATTACCCTCAATTTGAAATTGACATATACGGAAAAGCAGAAACTAATTCCTAATCTTAGTATGCAATAATACTTAACTTGTTGGTTGATGTTATATCAGCTTATACCAAAAACAATGCTTTCTCCCAGAAACATGAAATGTAATTGTTATTCAATCACTTTGATACAATACAGACTAATTTATTTTGAAAACATATCTAATTATTACATTTTGCAGGAAGTGGTCATACTCATGCCCCCACAGTTGTTTATCCCAGTGAGATGGATGGTGTACCAAAGATTTCTATACCTACTTTTGCAATGGCTTCGTATAAGTTAAAGGGATCTATTTGGATGAAAAAAGGAGTGGTTGAGACTCAACAAGTGAGTTCCCTTTTGCAGGCTGCCGATAACTGGTTAAGGCTAGTTCAGGTTAATCACCCGGATTTTCAGTTCTTTAAATCACATGGTACATACCATAGATGAACTGAACAAGACGACATACCATTCCTGCTTTTGGCTAAAACTGTTCATTGCTTGATGCAAACTTGATAAAAGTCTGTCCGTAGAGATTGTGATGGCGTGATGACTGCCTAACTGTGGATTATTGTGATATGCCTAAGCAGTACAAAATATGAAGCCGATATCGAGCAATGAGTTCGTAGAAATTGCTAAAGTGGAAAAGAAAAAGAAAAAGAAAAATTGCCTTATACGCAGGGAAAACTATCAGATAAGTGGCGAATCGTAATGAAATGAAAGAAAAACTAGTTCACACGAAGGATATGTGGGATTAAGCCAGACTGTACAAGCCTTTTCGGTTCAATAATGGTTGAGATCCCTTTAATTTCTAGCGATAAATATTTACAGATGTTGTGATTTCGAAGAAAATGGATGAAATACTATGATTTTGCTGTGTTACGTAAGCCCAATTTTGGCACTATATCTGGTGATCATGATGTTGCTCTGATGATGGGAGAAATGGTAGTGTAAGTATACAATTCTGTTTTAAAATAAGTTTACACATGTTCGACTGTTTGGCTTATCAAAGCTACTGGCGTAAACATGTTCTTGTAAAGATGTTCAAAATTAGCTCGATGTTGGTCGAATACACTGTAGAGAACGTTTAATGACAATCATGTAGTTTATCTGTTTCCAGAATTGTGAATTTGAACTAGTTGTATTGAGAAGTACGGAAAATATTTTTCGTCCTTGCTTTGTAAGTGTGGAGTATTTGGTATAATAAATGATCAATTGGCCACTTAGAGAGTTACATAGCATGGCTCTTGCCATACAGAATTTGCTTCCATGTAGCATTTTGCAATATTTCATCATAAAATTAGAGAGCTTCAGGGAAATAGAATTCAATGCAGTGAAGTGTATGATATGCTCGAACATGGTTTTGTTCGGAATTCCAGCCATGGTTTTGGATACAAGAAGAGATAAACATAATGCTCGAACAGTTTGTGACTTTCAAAACTTGAAACCAAACGTGTTATAGACTATTTACTACAGCAAATACTGCACATTCTACAGTACCGGATCCGAACCCATTGATAATTCCTTAGTGGGCCTAGGAGGGGGTTATTCACTATCATAACCTTACGGCGTGGTCAGATGTGATTCTTCGCTCTGTCTGTATGCTTGTAAATATAGTAGCTCAAAGGAAAAAGCCATTTTTTTTTACAACTAAAAGGAAATAAATACGTAATCTGTGCTAAGGCTAAGGTTGAATTAATGAAAACTGATGGATTGTGGTGGCAACGAAATGATATTTTAATATTTGATTTTGTTAATTAGAATTAAATGGAATGATAGACGATGAAGGAGTGAATTAATTGAATTGAATATAATATGATTGAAAGTAATTAAATTAAAAGGAAATTTTAGTCAATTTGAATTTAATTGTGCTTAAAGTTTAGGATGTAATTACATACAGACTAGGAAGACTTTATAAGATAATTATTTTATACTTTCTAATATTGGTTTTACAAACAACATAGATTATGATAATATAGAGGGTTTTTTTATATTAATTATTAATTATTAAATAACTGACATAATAAATATTTATTATGTTAGTTCTTAACATAATTTTTATAAAAAAAATTATGTTAATTTTTTTTATATAGTCATATTTCTCACATATATTTGATCAAAGAATTTCAATACAACAAACTTCAAAAATTAAATTCAAGCATGCACATATGTAAAACAATAAAACATAAAATGTAGTTTTATTCACTTAAATTGGAGGAAAAATCATTCATAATAAGAAAAAAATCATAATAACAATTACCATCTAACATTTATTAGAACACTCCATTAAATCAAATAATGAAATACAAACTAATATAAAAAAAATGAGATGATAATGTTTCTATATTTTATCTTTGTTTTAAACGAGGAAGAACCAAGATTATGAGAAGTGGTGGTACAAGTACGAAGAAAACAAAAGTAGATGAATGTAACGAGGAAACAAAGAAACAAATGAAAGAAGAAGTTGAGTGGAGTTCATGTGAAAAAAAAATAGAAAATGAGAAAGATAAAGAGCATAAAATGAATATGAAAAATTTAAATCTGAACATTTTTTGTGATGGTTCATAATAAATACTTATTACGACAGTTCAATTTTAATGTCTTTTATTTATAATTAATAAAGTCACTTTCTATTTTGGTTCGTAGTTAAATCATCATAATAAATACTTAGTATGTCGATTCAAAATTGAACTAACATAAAAAATGTTTAAATTTACAATTTATAAATAATTTATTATGACAGTTCAATTTTGAATTGATAGAACGAGTTCAATTTTGAACTGATAGAAAATATTTTCTTTGTCAGTTTAAAATTAAAAAGTCATATAAAATAAGTTTTAATTATAAAATTATCACCGTTCAATTTATTATGACTGGGTGAATTAGAATCGTCATAATAAATACTCATAAAATATTATTTTCATATCAGTGATATTATTCTAAATTTTGGTATTTTTGAATTGGTAAAGTTAATTACAATTGAAAAAAATATTATTTTCGCATTTAATAACCAAATTATGAGTTATTGGAGAAAATTATGTTTTTTTTTTCTTAAAGCTAACTTTTAAAATATGCGTAACAGTAGAATAAATTGATTGAATCTTTTCATAACATTGCACATAAATGATGTCTGAATAGATTAATACCTTTTCAAAGTACCCTCTTATTTTATCAAGTCATATAGCCCTAGTTTGGATCAAGATGAAAATATTATAAAATTCATATTGAAGATGAAAATTGTGACCAAACGTTTCTTTTCCTCGGACTTTGCATTTAATTGGCATGTTAGAGACAAAGATGAGTGCAAGAATAAGAAAAAAAATAAAAATCAAGAATGCATAGAAAAATATTTCAAGGAGAATTACTAGAAATAAATAGTTAACATTCTTGTTCACAATTTCATTTAGTCCAACTTAAAAATTGTTTAATTTCTTTTAATTTGTAATTATAAATTGGATTTTAATTTGGACTTAAATTAATCAAAGTCCAATTAGAAACCTTATAGATTTAGGATTTGTCTTTTGATTTTGAATTTTCTTCTTAATTTATATTTGAATTTTGGCACCTTCTATTATCTTGGTTCATTGTAAAATACTTTTAATTGAATGAAAATTTGAGAAAATTTTAAGAGCACTTGTCTATTGAAAGAATTATCCGCTTTCTTTTGAGTTTTATATTGAAATCTTATGATGTACTTATCTTAACTAGTCGTAAATATTTTACATCTCTGATCCTTTTTTATTTTTTATACTTTCCTTCGGTCACTTTACTTATCCTCTTTTGTTCTTTAAATTTTCCGCCAATAATATCCTTTAATGTTCTTACTTGACCATATTATTTCTTGTGTTATATGAACACGGAAATCAAGCTTCTCAGGAATTCATTATTGTTTCAAGACAAAAATGAGATTCGTTCTATGATTATGATCTTGCAATCATATTAAATTTCATGAAAACTTCAGTACAAATGACTCATATCGTATAAGCATGAGCATTGTGATAAGGAATCGATTACACATATATAGCTGTTGTGAATAGGTCCTAGCTACTAATTCCGCACAAGAAATCTTCACGTATGATTATTACTGTAATATTTAAAGCTCACAATTGTCGCAGTTGGACATCTTATTTTTCATGCACAAACCCTTCCCTGGTTATTATTCACTCAACTTATCCATCATGCTTTTCCATATTCTTGTGTTGGCATAAGCATCTCTATCATCTGCGCATAATTTAATGAACATGTCAATACCGAAGGCATATACAAAAATTCATTGCATGTCACGTAAAAAGATTAAGACTCCACCCTCCATGCACAAAAGAACAAATAAATCTGTCCTAGGGTGATAATATATATATTTAATGAAAAACTTGTAAAAACATCATTTTCTTTTTTTCATTCTGACGGTAAGAATTGAGATTAAAGGTGAAATTTTGGCTTTAAAATTCTGAGAACTAGCGCACACAAGTTGGTTTTACGTCTGAAGCATGCTTTGTCATGCAAGAACCCTTTTGTGTTGTAAGGTGGACAAGCATCTTAAGAATTCAAGTGTGACTTGAAGTTTTACGTTGGGTAAAAATGAAAAAATTGAGTAACTTATAAATGAGAAAGATCCATAACCTAATATCTTAAGGTTTTTAATTGAAAATAGTGTTATATTTCTTATATGATTGACTCGTGACCCATTTGTGAGAATCTTCCTGTTTTTAATCCCCATTGAAAATACCTAATAGTGGTATCAGAGCCGATGACTCGTCCAGTGACTGACTCAGTTGAGTATGAGTAGGTGATAGATGATAGGTCCTTGTATCGAAAGTCTTATTGACTAGGGTTTCAGGCAAGTGAGTCCCATTGAGTTAAACAGCCCTACAAGTAGGGGGATATTGTTGAGAATTCAGGTGTGAGTTGAAGTCTCACATTGGGTATTAATAGGAAAATTGACTAACTTATAAGTGAGAAAGACCCATAACCTAATGTTTTAAGGTTTTAAGTTGAAAGTAGTGTCATATTCTCTTATATGGTTGACTTATGACCCCCCTTGGAAATACCTAACAAAGCACTCAGTATTTTAGGAAGAAAAAGAAAAGCAGATTTGTTGTTTAAGTGTGAGAAGCTTATAAATGATTCTTCTTATGTTACACTTTAATTTATCTTTTTAGATTCTTTTTAGTAATTCTAAAGGTTGCTTACATAAGATTTAATAGTTTAAGAATTTAAGGTAGTTTCTAGAACTTAATTTTCTTGATCTTTTTAGAAATTTACATAACTTTTTTAACACTCTTCCTTGATGCAAATTTCTGTAACTCTAAGCATGAGTCATAACTATTCAAACTTGGCTAGTACCTTAGTAAATATGTTTGTAATTTGATCTTCTGTAGCGCAGTACTCAAGTTGAATTTGTTTAGTTGTTTCAGCCTCTCTGATGAAATGATATTTTATAGTTATTTGTTTTGTTCTTTGATGATGAACTAGATGTTTTGTCATTACTATCATTGACTTGTTATTGCAGTAGATTGTAGCAGATCCATGTTATTGTTTTCCCATCTCTTCAACTATTCTTTGGAGTTATATAGCTTAATTTGTAGCTTCAGTTGCCATCACGTACTCTGCTTCAGTTGTTGATTGTACTATTGTTGCTTACTTCATAGATGCCCAAGAGAAAGATCCTCTTCAAATTGAGAAGGCATAACTTGATGTACTCTTCATGTCATCTATAGATCTTGTCCAATCATTGTCAGTGTAGCTAATCAACTTTGAGTCAATCATGATTTTGTACCATATACCAAAGTCCTTTGTGTCTTGTAAATATCTTTAAATCCTTTTTACTGCTTCAAAGTGAATTGGGCTTGGTCTATGAATGAACCTTGATAAAAGGCTTGTAGCATACATGATATCTGGTCTTGTCACTGTAAGATATAGTAAGCTTCCAATCAAACTTTTATAGTGTGATGTGTTAGTTTATGATGTTCCATCATCTTTTCGTAACATCTTATTTGTCACGAGTGGAATAACCACAAATTTACAATCATTCATCTTGAACTTTTACAATCATTCATCTTGAACTTCTTTAATAAAGTCTTAGTGTATTTCTTTTGAGAGATAATTATTCCTTTCTTTTGTTATCTTACCTCTATGCTGAGCTAAGGTCATTCATCTCAAATGTTTTAATCATGTCTTCTTCGAATTCTCTTATCATCTCTATATTGTTTCCTGTGTAGATAAGATCATCTACATATAGAGAGACAATGAGAATATCATACTGACCTTGAGTCTTGATGCATAGTGTTGACTCACTCTTGCTCCTCCTGTATCCTTGATCGGTGAAGTATTGATCATGAGCTTGCTTCAAGTCATATAGTGTTTTTCTTAGCCTTAACACTTGATATTTATTACAACCCCCTCCCTTATTTTTTATTATTACATAGGACCCCCCTTCCCTTTAGTTTAGTTTTATTGCAAGTTGTAATAAGGACCCAATTGAAAATTTAGTTATCAGTCTTTGGGAGACTAAGAGGGTGCATAGCTGATTGACTTTTGGATGCCACAATTTCAGTTACAATCAATCATTAAGTAGTTTTCAATTCCTAGGTTAATAAATCATTATTAGCATTTATTTTCTTTTAATGAATATTTGTAACTCTGATGACAAAACTTCTTTATAAGCTGAACCATTTTTATCAGAAATAACAAGTTGAGTTTATTTTTAGAAGTATTAGAGTTTATCTCTTTTATCTTAGTGAGAGTGATTCTCCTAAGTTCTTGAGTGATTCAAGAATATTTGGCTGTATCAAAGGACTTTCACATCCTTTGTGTATTGCCTTCCTTGGGAAGAGTGATTCTTTCCTTCCACCTTCTTTCTAATTCCTAAATTTCTTACAAGGTTCTAACCCTAAAGATCCTAAATTACCCTTTGTGATTCATATCAACTTTGATGGTGAAAAATCCTGTTGTGCAGATAAAGGAAGCATACCTAGATTTTTTTCCACTTCTTGAATTTCTTTTTGAGATTGTTATATTGGAAAGAAGATGTTATTTCTCATGATTCTTCCTTCTTCCCAATTCCAAGCATTTTCATCAACTTCAACATCTCTACTAATGGTGAGGTTTTTTGTTTGTAAGTTATAGATTCTATAGCCTTTTGTTTGTCTGTTATATCCCAAAAAGATTCCTTGTATAATCTTTTCTTCTAATTTGTGCCTTTTCTGATCTAACACTTGTATGTAGAGTAGATAGATCGAAAAATTCTTAAGTTTTTAGCTGATGACTTTTGTCCATTCCAAGATTCAATTAGAGTGTTGTCTTGGACTACCTTAGTTGGACATCTATTGAGTATATACACGACAATGTAGGTTGTTTCTGCTCGAAAAGTATTCCATAAACTTTTCTCTTTCAACATTGATCTTCCATCTTCATCACTATGCAATTCTTTCTTTCTGATACACCATTTTATTATGGTGTATATGCAACTGTAAGTTGGTCTTTCTATTCCTTCATCTTCACAAAACTTATCAAACTCATGTGAGTTATATGCTTTACCTTGATAACTTTTTAGAACTTCTATATGTCTTCCACTTTTTTTCTCGACGAAAGCTTTAAACTTCTTAAATATACCAAAGACTTCTAATTTTTATTTGATGAAGTAAACCCAAGTCATTCTAGAAAAGTCATTGATGAAAATGATAAAGTACATATTGTTATTTAGTGAGGATGTCATCATCGGTCCACAAATATCTGTATGGATTAATTTCAACGAATCTTTTGCTCTTCATTAGTTGAAAATGGTAATCTATGTTGTTTTCTGAGAAAACATCCTTCATTATTATTTTTCAAGTATGGAAGACCTCTCATCATATTCTTTTGATGTAATAGCTTCAAAGCATGTTCGTTGAAGTGTCTAAACCTTCTATGCTAAAGCCATGAATCATCAACTTGAACTTTCATGACAGTATCATTAGTATATTTGAAGTTTATAGGAAGACTTTTTTTTTTATCCATTTTTACTTCTCCTATATCTCGTCTTTTATTGTCATAGATTTTGTATTTATCTCCTCTGAAGTGAAGAGCATAACCTTTCTCCATCATTTGAGTAATGCTTAAGATATTTTCTTTAAGATTTGGAACGAGCAATACATCTTTAATAAGTCTTGTATCTTTCATAGTCTCCACCACAATGGTTCCTCTTCCTTTTGACTCTAGCAGTGTTTCATTATTGGTGTCTCGGGTAGCATAGAAAAGATGTTGCTCAACATCTTGTTCTTTAGCAAAATTTGCTTGATGCTTATTTTTTATGTGATAATTTTTCTCCACATGTCTAAACTTCTTGCAATGTTGGAATTGAGATTTTTCATGATGCCAACAATCTTTCTCCAAATAACTTGATTTTTGGAAAATTCCATAAGGAGGAAATTCATACTAACTAGAGTTGGGAGAAATTTCTAGAGTTTTCTTTATTTCTAGAAATTTCTTCAATTTTTTTTATTTATAGAATTTTTTTCAATTTTCTTTCCTCCATTTTATTTATTCTAAGACCGTAATTTGAACTTTTATTGAAAGATATTTTCGACGAGTCTTCATTGTACATTTTCAATCTTTGCTCATATGCTTCAAGAGATCCTATTAGTTTTGTCACTAGATAAGGTAAATAAATCATTGATTTGTTCAATTGTTGTCACAATTGCATTATATTTGTGGGAAATAAAAATTATAATTTTCTCAACAATTTTCTTATCTAGAATAATTTTCCCCACATGCTCTAATTTGACTAACTATCTCTTTGATTCTATTATAATAATCCTTAATGGTCTCATACTGCTTCATATTCAATAATTCAAACTCACGTCTTAGAGTTTGAAGTTTAATGGTACATACCTTTACACTTCCTTAAAACTCCTCTTGTAATGTGCTCTACACCTCTTTGACACTTGTGACATCTATTATTCTTGGAAAAATTGCATCAACCACAACTTGTTGTAAAAAGTATAACGCCCTTAAGTCTTTTTATTTGTTCTCTTTCAACTCCTCTTTTTGAGCCGCTGTTAATGTAAAAATGTTGGTATAGGAGTAATGAAGTCACCTTCTACAATCTTCCACAGATCTTGAAAGCAAAATAATGTCTTCATTTAAATACTTCAAAAGTCATAATTTTCTCCCGTAAAGATAGATAAAGAAATAGATGAAGAAAAACTGATATTAGCCATTAGTTAAGATTGATATGAAATATAGTAAGAATTTTTAAAGGTAATTGAATTGTAGTTGCGTCCAATAGATGATTGAAGATAGTTCTGGTACCTATGTTAGTATTTTAGGAATGATAGAAAATGTTGATTTGTCGTTTAGTAATGAGGAGCTTAAAGATGATTCTTAGTATATTACACTTTAATTTATCTGTCTAGATTCTTTTAGTAATTATAGAGATTTTTTTACGTAAGATTTGTAGTTCTAATAATATTTAGAATTGAAGGTATTTTTTATAACTTAATTTTGTTGATTTTTCTAAAAATTTGCATAACTTTTTTAACGAGTGCTGCGCCTGTCTACAAATTCAATTGAATTTGAAGATGATTAAAAAAGATCAAACTCTAGACCATTAATGCATAGATCCTTTAAGTGTCGCTCTAAGGTGAAGGGTTGAAAGATTGGCTTCTTATCTTCAATGAGTATTTTGCTTTCCAACAGAACATACGGCTTGAACAGGTACCTTTTAAGAAGTAAGTCATTCTTATCCTATGAATCTTACCCCAGACATCACCTGGCATATATTAGCAATCTGGAGTCATATTGTGGAAGAAAATCACTACTTACTATGCAAGGTTGTCCCAGTGAAGGAATCCACCATGTCCCCTAGCGTTTGAGAACTTATAAGTGGAACCTGAAACTGTTCAAGAGAGTACTACATGTCATCAAATTGCAAAGACATCATTCAAACCAATATTTTACGTGAAAACTTAAAATTTATGTGAAAATTAGGCAGAGTTTACCTTGATATCCTCCAAGAACTGGATCATCTGACAGCAGAAGTGGTGTATCTAAGTCAATGAACCTACAAAAGAGTTTAGAATATATTTAAATGCATTAATAAAATAGAAGGTGAACAAAACAAGAGGAAAATAATATATGAACCTATGTTCGAATAAACTTCCTACAACACTTGTAACCGAAGAAAAATAAGAAGATAAATTGAATTAAAAGGCTCAAAATTTTATGGAGAAGTTTATCAATGAAAAAAGGCTCAAAATCTTGAACATAAATGATACATACTTGAAACACCCAAGCCCAGCAGCAAGTTGGCCAGCAAAACCCATAGCAAGTCTAGTCTCAACCATACCACCAATCATCAAGTCTAATCCTGCTGCTTTTGCCTTTTCAATAATTTCAAGGGCACCCATAACACCAACTTTGGCAAGCTTAATGTTAATAACATCTAAAACATTCCCTTCCACAATTTTGTAAATATCAACTATACTTCTGCAACTCTCATCAGCTGCAACAGATACACCATATCTCTCTCTTGCTATACTACTGACATACCGAAGACCATCCCAATCATCTCTGTGAACTGGTTGCTCAAATAGAATAGGAGTCAACCCCATATCTGCAATAGAAAATAAATCTAAGTTCAATGCCAGAGTGCCTAAATAAATCTTAGTGCATGTGTGCTTGCATTTCTCGCAAGACAATGACAGTGTTATTTAGATGGAGAAAGAAATTTAACTATGTACAAGCTTTTAACCATGTAATTTCTCAAGAACTTCCACTGCTTCCTCAGATTTATACCCTTCATTAGCATCAAGAATAAACTGACACTCAGGGTGGGCAACACGTATAGCTTGAAGCACTTCTATATCTGCGTTCAGATTCTTGCCCACTTTCAGCTTTAAAGTCTTAAATCCTTCTTTATTGTACTTAGAAGCTAAATTAGCTGCTTCAGCTGGAGAAACAATTGGAATCTGCACATGTAAGCTGGCTTAGATTTCTTTCTAGCAAATAGTTCCTCTCATATTTTTGAAAAATTATTTTCATCGTAGCATTTTGTCTGATATTGAATAAGAACTTACTGTTATATCAGTGGTTATGGTATTTGAAGCCCCACCAAAAAGCCTCCACAATGGCACACGAATACTATTTGCAACAGCATCAATTATTGCCATCTCCACCCCAGCCCTAACCTTCAATTACAAAAGGGACCCCATGATGAGAAAGGAAAAAGTTTTCCTAACACGTTTATTAAGAAAGTCTGCTTTATTAGCCAGTTATTCCTTCAAAAGCAATAAAATAGTACGGACATTAACATGAATTTCTTGAGAATCCTTTTAAACCTATGAAGCCAATATCCACTGTAAAATCCAGGTTGCTTTTCCACGAAAACGAAACTGCTAATTTCATGAAAAGGGAAAATGGAAAACAGTTACTGCTGTTAATTAATTTAGTAGTCTTGTAAAAATTGAAGGCGAATGTGTGAAGGAGATAATTAAAAATAATTAAAAATTAAAAAACATGGACAAGATCTGCAATTGTTTATCTCAGTGTCCTTATCCTCCTTATGCTTCAAAAATTCTGCCACCTGTCCCCTACTTTTGTATTATAATAAAGGGATCCACCTATATCTTTGTGCTTATATTTTGAAAATTCTGTTCGAATGGAGATATCAGAATGGAAGATCTGATTTATAGGAATCAATGCATGCATTTAATGCAAGTCTACGTGCACAAGACCTCACATATCAAGACCTGGCAAATGACCTCAAATCAACCTGCGAATCACTTTGATGCTCTCACTCCTATGACATCTCTAACTTTACATCAAAACTTATATGAATATACTGGTAGAGTGACCACCTGTGAGAGTCACACCCTTGCCATACAAGACTCTCAATAAAGATCTAATTTGTGAACTCAATCATATATTTTTCTACTTTCCTCTCTTCACGGCAAGATTATGCTTTATCTTTCTTTTATGATAAATTAAAAATAAAATGCATCAATCTGAATAGAGAGTACGATCAATACAGAGAGGGGATTAAGAAAAGACTCTTTTCCTTCATTCTTTTGAATTATCTTAATATAGACTCCACAAAAGAAAAAGCCAGCACTTTTAAACCAAACAATGATTAACAAAATACTTTCTTAAAATCAAGGGAATAGAAGAACCAGACCAGTGGCCAAAATAAAAGTCACACAAGTCAAGCAAGTAAATATTAGAAAATGCAGTCCCAATATGAATATTCAAATTTTCTTAAAATTTGCTACTCTCCGTTCATGTCCTCAGTGACCAAGTAGAAAACTAAAACTGTTATTCAAAATTCAAGGAATTTGCATTAAAAAAAGGGTCACAAAGAGACCATTTAAAAAGCATAACAAGTGAGACAGCAAGTGATAAAAACAATAGGGGATTAGAATGATGAACAACAACACAAGCACTAGAGAAACATGAACAAAAATTTATCTCACTCACTGAAGCAAATTGATGCCCGGGAAGAATACCACCAATCTCCCCCAGCATGGAACCCAAAGTTAGTGCAGGACATCTCCTCAAGAAAGCACATGCCTCAGAAGCCTTGGCCATGGCGGTGGTTTGGTCCTCTGCAGTAACAAAAGGCAAAATTGGTGCCTCACCCCACCCCACAGCACCGTTGCTCAACTCAACTCTTATGGCCACGTTCTCCACCTTGTCCAATCTAGAGGTGGCAATGGTAAAGGGAGCAATTAAGGGCACGTTCAGTGGCCTATTCTCTGCCCTGTGCACATCAACAGTGAATGTTTCCAACAAATTCTTGAATCCAAAGGTGATGGGGGCTGCTGTAGATGTAGCAGAAGCCATGATCTTGGCAAAATGACCAGAATTTTTGGCAAAACACTTGATGAGTGTGGAGGAGTTGATGTTCTTTGGGTTGTGGGACAGTGACTTCATCAAAGTTGAGTCCAGTGGGTGTTGTATTTTGCAACTTATTGTTTGAGACATGTTGGATCCTAGGATTGGCAGCATATGATTAGGTTGTGAACAACTCGATTAGCTGCAATTTGTAATTCTTTTATGCTCTGCTTTCTGAGGAATTTCAATATTTAATTCTAACCAAGGTCATTCGGGCCTGCTATGTTGTTGTCTTTTCTTCCTACATCACTAGACCTTTATGCTCATTTTCTAAAGGTTGTGTTTTTAATAATTCCTGACTTAGACGTATATAAATATGTCCACGTTAAGTTCAATCAAACTATAATAATGACTAAATAGAATTCACGTTGAAGTTCAATGCTCAGCGTGAATCATTTAGGTTCAACCAGATAATGATTTAATGGTAGCATTATTGCATATATTTAGTCAGATTTTTTCAATAAATTTACATTTATCACGAAAATTATTTAATTTATTATTAATATTGAGTTTATCAATAATTTATGTCCTTCCAAAAATATCCTTATTTTTTTTAACTTTTTCTTCAACTTCATTATTTCTTAATAAACTAAAATTTAAAGAGATAATAATATTTATATATTTTGTTTCTTTTCAAATTTTTCTCATGTTCTTGCATGAAAACGTAATAATAATAAAAAAATAGTTCTTTCTTGCATGAAAACGTAATAATAATAATAAAAAAATAGTTCGATCATATCAAGATTATGAATCGTTATGGATAAATTAGTATTAGGATATGAAAAGATACGATAAATAATATGTAATTGAATATAATGATTTAAATTTATACACTTCTTATCAATATTATTTTGGGTAATAAATGATACTTATTTAATACTAATAATTGTATTTTGGGTAAGAAATTTATACACTTCTTATCAATAGTTTTCTCTTAATCTTCTTTCTCTATCTTCTTCAACTGTTCCATATTTTCCTTGAGTTTCTTAGGTATGTCCCAAACAAGCTCTAATCTTTTGTCTTAGGTTCTTTTCCTGAGTTTAGTGGTTAAATTTATATTGACCCTTTGGTGGGTCCTTCCTGTACTATCGGGGATGAGAGTTCTTTGAACTCCTATGTGGAAATAAGGGTCCTTCCTGTACTATAGTAGCCCTCAAAAATTGGATGCTCGGGAAGGTGGGGCATTATGTTTCTATTTTTACTTTTTTATCCTCGGTAGAAGATATTTGTAAATCTTATGATATTTGTCTGGTCCTAATGTTGGTTTTGTTCTTGCTAAAAATCACTCTTCTATTGAATGAGTTTATACGAAGCCTACTTTAAATTCTAAGGATTTTAATTTTGTATATAATTGTCTTTATAAAGGTTTGGATATTCTTTTGCAATTTATTAACTTCGAGTGTGATATATTATGCATTTTTTGTGTTGCTCTTAGTTAGCATCATCTCAATAGTTGAAACTTTCTAAAAATTTCTACATTTTTATTAAGTAAAATATGGTTCAAAGATCAATTGAATATCTCTAAATGGATCCCAACATGATGGTTTGTTCATCGTTTACTCATCTTCCTTTAAATATTTCAAAAGTCGCTTATTTAAGGTCAAATGTGAAAAGATATGTCAGGTATCGATCCAAATTTAATGTTTCATAAACTTGTTATTTTACCATAAGTAAAATATAGAGGTAAACGAAAACAAAAACTAGGGAAAAAAATTAAGTAGTTGTAGAACAGAAGTTGAAAAATTGTTAAAAGTCAATTTTATCCGAGAAGTAATATATAGTACTTGGTTAGCCAATGTAGTATTGGTAAAAAAATCTAATGACAAATAGTGCTTGCATCAATTATACTGATGATTTAAATAATGTTTTTCCTAGATATTCTTACCATTTACTAAGCATATATTGATTCTTTGATAACACATTCGATTATGAGATCCTTGGTTTTTTAGATGCATATTCAGTGTATAATCAAATACCCATGTATCCACCTGATGAGGAAAAAAATGCTTTTATCACTGAAGGAGTTAACTTTTGCTATAAAGTTATGTTAATTGGACTGAAAATATATTGGTGCAACATACCAGACTAGTAGGATTTTGCAACTAGTAGAAACTAGATATTCAACACTAGAAAAGCGTATTTTAGCCTTAATAAACTTTGTTAGAAGGTTACGACAATATTTCTAAAGTTATCTCATAGTGATTAAAACCAATTTCCCTATAAGGCAAATATTGCAAAAACCCAAATTGGCTGGGAAATGATAGCTTGGACAATTTAATTAATTGAATTCGATATATCATACGAAAGCCAAGTACTAATGAAAACACAATTTTTAGTTGATTTCCTTCTCAAACTTCCTCCTCAAAGGGAAAAACATGAATGGTGGATGTTATGAGCAGATGGCTCTTCAAACACTAGAGGAAGTGGAGCTAGAATTATTTTGGAAGGCCTTGATGACATTATACTTGAACAAGCTCTTAGATTTGAATTATCAACATCTAATAATCAATCTGAGTACGAAAAATTAATTTTTGACTTAAAATTACTCAAGGAAATGGGAGTAAAATAACTTTATTGCAAAAATGAAATTGAATTTATAACAAGACAAATCTGAAAGAATTAATGGTTGAGTTCGAGAGGGGGGGTGAATTGAACTTTAAAACTTTTTCGCAAATCTTACTTTCTTTTGGAAGAATGAGTTATCTTTATTCAATCTTTGCAAAGGTAATTTGATTTAAACACAGCACAATTAAAGACAGAAATTAAAAGAGATGAAAGAAGAATATT